AAAAAAACTATGACCAACAGAATGCAAAACAACAACCACAACCCCAAATCTGGTGTGGTTACACAAACGTGTATATGGGGATTTCTGGGATGAACATATGGGTACATGGTAGGTATGCACAGACAGATGGACCTATATGCATGTGCGTGCCTATGGTGTATTCATAAACATAATAAACCATAGAGGGCTCAAAGACACTTCTTAGATATAGCCATATACCTTGGTGAAGAAGAGGGAATAAAATAATTAGTCCACAGGACTGACGACCACACAAACCTCCGCCTCCGTGACCTTGAGACCAGAAGATGCTGATGGTGTCACAAAAACTACCAAGCCTTCTCATCTGGGCGGAAAGATGAGTGTATCCGTACGGAATGCAAGAGAAATGGCTGGAACTTACAGGCTGATTGAACCTGGATGACTTTCCGAGATATTCTTTACACCTTCATGGAAACAGTCCCTGGAGTCACTTGTTAGCTACAGAACAGCTTGGTTCACAGAATAAACAATATTACTTGTGCGAATAATTAGCTCTTCGGAGGCCACATGGTCAAAAAAACGATCCCAAAGCAAAGGGAGTAGGGAAATGATACAACCAGAGTGAGCGCCCGGTGTGGACAATGTATGCAATATCACCCGGCGCTGTTCTTCTTAACTGTTAAGTAGAAACTTGATTTGCTGGGCATGTTTTTACAAGATGCATTTCATACAAATATGAAATGCATCTTGTGAAACAAAGGCGCTGGCGGCTGCAGGGACTAGCAGTGTGAAGAGGACAATGTCACCGAGCAGAGACAGTTGGAGGAGGGTGAGAACAGGCTGAGTTCTCTAGCTGTCAGGGCTCATCCAATTGTACCCTCTCAATGGGCGGACGGCGGGCGCTCTACCTGGGTAGGAATATATGGCATGAAGGCATTCGCTGGAAATCTAACATGTAGCCGAGGAAGCAGGGCTAAGTGATAGATTCATTACCGTCTGCCTGCTCTTGGGTGTGCTCAGAATTCTCCACAATAGGGATTTTTTTTTAAGATAAGAAAAAATTCAAATGCGAGGTTTGGGGAAATCTCAATAAAGGAGAGTAGCTACAGAAAAACAAGTCACTGCAGTTTGATTTGGTTGATCTCATTAGAAATGACTGGAGCAAGGCTTCTCAGAGCTTCTCCCTCCAGGGTGTTCCTGGACGTGACCTGGGGTTCTCAGAGCACAGGAA